TTGCGATAGATAGGGTCAGAAGTGTATGGGCTTGTATTTTAGATGGGGTAGTTGTGAAAAGCTTGCCTAGTGGGGTAACTTTTTACAGAGACTGAAGTGAGGGACTGAGTAAGTAAGAGGCTCTCTGGGGTAAGAGTATTGCAGGCAGCAAGTCCAAAAGCCTGTGGTAGGAAACAGCTTGTGCAGAGGACATAACTGGCTGCATGGTGAATTTGCTTAAATCTCATTTTGTTTAACAGTTTAGTTTTAGATGATTGTAATTCTATCTAGAGCATCTAAAGAGATGCTCAGTTTAGCTTTGTTCAGTCCTGACTGCAGCTGGAGAGAAAAGGGAAAGGAGAGGGCTGTATTAAAAAGATTAAACTGGATAAAGGTGGGGCCGGATCTAGAAGATTTGAATGTCAGATTATAGAGCTCAGATTTGATTTTAAGTTAAGTGGGAATTACTGAATGTAAAAATTTGCTCAATTATGTTCAAATATACTGATGTCTTCAGGGATTAACAAGGTTGTTCCTACATTAAAACATGATGACTGCTTTCTTTTCTAACATGACCAGGTAAAAGAGATGGACATCCAGTTGATTCTGAATAAGGCACACAGAAAGGATATCCTTAACCATTTTTACTAAGAAGTGGCAAAAGAAAAGCCTAAATATTGTTACCTGTGCAATACTGTGTTGATTCAAAAATTCTTTTCAGATGACCATTCAGAAGACAGTATCACAGACTATGATCAATTTTGTCATATCTACTCTTAAGTGGTATTTGTTGATAGAATCAAAAAAGCAAGCTGGTAGGATTTCATTGGTGGGACTAAAACATTAAGGATAAACACTTCTAATGCCATTTTCATTATAACAGAAAGGTATTTGTCTAGTCTAGAGAGAGTACAGTATGAAAGAGAGTAATGAAGGGTTTTAGTGGTAATCTATAAAATGACAGGGTTAGACTATATGATATCTAAAGTCCTTTTCTAGCTCTAAATTTTATGATTATTGCATATGATTAGAAAAGTGTACCAGAAAGTGACAAAACATAACAACTAATAGGACTGTATGCTTCTACCTTTATATCCCTCCTTATCTCTTGTAGTGTACCTGGTATATAGTAAGTTCTCAAACATTTGATTAATGAATAAATTAATTAATAAGTTATAAAAAGTAGACATGGAATTCAAGAAAGCAATATATCCATTTAGAGTAGAGGTAAACATGTATACTTCTCTAAGAAAACCAACATTATCACAGTAGAGTACAATGGTTGGCAATAACAAGAAATTCCAATGAGGACCCCGAGGCATCAAAAATAGTTAAATAATGTGCCCAATTTCTTTACAAAATTAGGAAAGCGAGATCATGTTTTATGTTAATCATTGAAGATGGTTAAAACACTATCACTTAACAAGGGTAACATTCAATTTTCTGGGAGATTGACTCACATAGAAAAGCTCATTCTTCTGTTATGTTTAATGAAGAGGTGTTAAAACTAATTCTCTTCAATAGTTGCAAGTGAATATGAACCAAGTGGAACAGGCAAGTCCTTATCTTATATCTAGGTACTGTTCTCCCCAGATAAAGTTTAAGCCAATTAAGTCAAAGATTATATGAAAGTATAATAAATTTTACTTAATTCATTGATTGTATGTACTGATACCTTCTTCAAAAGCAATCAGATCATGTTATGGACCTCATCTTGTTCTCCTGCTCCAATGATTTCCCAGCATAAGAATAAAATGGAAACTCCTTACCATGTTCTGTGGGTTCTACATCTGTGGGTTCTGTGGGTTCTACCTCTCCATCCCTGTCTCCAAATGTTATCCCACCTCTCAATTATTGTTTCAGTTACACTGTCCTTAGTGTTCCTTCAACACCTCAGTCTTGTTCTGGCCTCATGGCCCCTGCACCTTCTCTTCTCTTTGCCTGGAAAGCTCTGCCTTCAGATATTTGTAAATCTTAATATCTCAGCTCATCATTCAGGTCTCTGTTCATATGTCACTTCACAGAGGCTTTCCCTATAGATTCCATTCAAAACTGTATCACCGTGCCCTTGCCTGCTTTATTTTTCTTCCTAGCATCTAGACTACTTGGAAAATATATATTATTTGGTTACATAATTATTGCTTATTTACCTTCTAAAATGTAAGCACTATGAGAGTATGGACTTCATCTGCACTCCAGAACCTAGAAGAGGGTTTGTCAAATATTTAGGATTTATTACATACTTGTTGAATAACTGAATGAAATAATGCAAAGTTTCAAGATATGTGTGCAAAAAACAAGTGCAGAATAGTGGACCTGGCATTCAAACATTTGTATTTTCAAAAGATATATACATATTTGTACATGCATGGGCTCTCTCAGGAAGAGAACAGAGGAAATTGATAATACCAGTTGCTTGATGATGGAAAAATATGAGGGTCTGGGTGACAGGCAGGCTTACTTTCTACTTTATATCCTTTTGTATTATTGGGATTTTAAACAAGTCTAGGTATTTTTATTTCAAAAACAAAGCAAAACAAAACAAGATTAAAATTTACCTTAAACACAAACTTTCATTTAGTAACAATTATGGAATACTTTCTCCTGAGCTCTTATTCTACAAATACAAATGTGCTAAGCAATTTACATACTTCTCATTTAATCCCTGTAACAATCCTATGACACAGGTATTATTATCATACCTATTTTATATAGAGAGAAACTGTAGTATAGACAGATTAAGTTAACTGGCTAAGTCACACTATTGGAAGCACAAGACGTAGAATTTGAACTCAGACTGACTGAATCTAAAGCTCAAGTATTTAATCATCACTCTCCATGATGTAAATATATAACCCCCAGAAATTTTCTGATAGAAGTTAAACTATTTGCCTACCTTTGATAGAAAACCTCAGGGCCTAGTATTGGGGCCCCTGAATGAATGTTGAAATAAAACTGAAAATTCATGATTTCTCTGTGCTTGCTGGATAACACACACAGTTACCTATTCTCAGAAAATATGCTATTAATTGAGAACTCTTGGATTAGGTAGATATGGTGATAACTAGTAATAATGAACAACGATGATCATTTGGGCACACTCTATATGCCAGGCATTATGGTAAACATTTGACATTCAACATCTCATTCAATCCTTAAAAAGATAAAGTAGACTCTATTATTGTCTCCATTTTACAAAAACAGAGACTTAGCTTTAGGCTAAGGAATCTTTCCAAGATGACAAGAGAGAGTAAGTGAGAAGCCAGAATGCCAATCCAGGTCCAAATCCAAAGTCCATGTTCTTAATAACTCTGGTCTATTGGAATCAAAACAGAAGGCTTTCAAACAATGGAACAGAAAGGTCATATAAATTTTCTTGAATGTGTGGAGTAACACAGTTATAAATGATTTCTTAAATACAAATTCAAATCTGAATTAGATTCAAATTCAATAAACATTTGTTAGGACCAGGAACTATCCTCCACTCTATCATGTATAGTCTCTATGCAACTTAAACCTCTTATTGGAAATAACTTGAGTGTTAGAGCCACTGCTTCTATTCACCTGTAAGCATCAAGGAAGAACGAAAATTTCAAGTGGGGGGAAGGGCAGCACTGACATCTGGGCTATTTTTTCCTCCTAGTTTTCAGAGTTCATAGCATAAAAGTCATTTTATTGTGTACCTTAATTGATTCAAGGTATATTTATAGTGGGACAAGATACATTTTTGAAATGAGAATTTTGTGTACTTGTAAATACTTATTTAGTAACAGAGGAGGAGACAATTACTACCGTTAAAGGCAGATAACCTTTGTGTACTGAAATAGACAATTCTTACAAAATAGTAGAAACTTAATAACAAGCAGTATCTAGCCTTTGGATCTTACATTCTCCCACAACAAAGTTCATAAATACCTCCCAAAATCCAAGGCGGTGGGGGTCACTGACTGTGGTAGAATAACACTATCAATTAAAACCTGTAGAATGCCTAACACATTCTACCCGATAATAGTTAGTAACCTAAACTATACGTTATACAGCACAATTATTCAATTCTGGTCAAATAATCTCATAGAGTAAACAGCAGTCAGCCTTGACTTCTCTGAAACTGAGTGCCTAATGAGCACTCCTCAAGGCGAACGAATCTCGCAGAAACTACGAACAGACGGTAGAACTGATTCTCAGTGCTTTAAGTCCCTTTCATTTGCAGAGCACTTTGTCAACCAGTATCTCTTCCATAGCTCATCTGATCCCCAGCAATCCCGTTAGTCAGTGCTGGCAGGTCTTATTCTGATGCTACATTTGGGGTCTGGGAAGGTTCCCAAGTGACCTTTGCCAGGTTAACGCAGAACCTCGCTGGACAAAAAGGTTACAAGCTGGTGAAACAAGGCTCCTCTTGATAGTTAAGCCCAGAGTTACATTTACATCTGTGTCTGAAACAAAACACTCTGAATTTGAAGTCCGGAAGGAACTTTACACTGTAAGGTGCCAGACAGTTAAAAGTGTTCTGCCAAAGTCTGGGAAAGGGGCCAAGATGCCCTTTAAAACTTCCGACTTCCTGAGAATTTCAGGCAGGAGATCCCTGACCTTCCTGCTGAGCAGTCGAGGTCTCCCGATCAGGCAGAGCCATATTCTAGTGGGTTCTCGAGTTCCTTCTTCCTTTCACTTTCTCCACTGGGACCCTAACCAGGCCCACCCCTGTCCTCACCCCCACCGCCCCACCTAACGCTTCCGTATTTGTCAACAAGCCCACTTGGTCCTCTATCCCTGAGGCGGCGGGACCCCTCCGCTTCCTGCGAGACGGGTCATCCGAAAAAATGTCCCCGAGACGAGAGTTTTCTTCTCTTGCCTTTAACTCACCTCAGACCCAGGAGAGGTTACGGAGACGCTTCACTTCATTGTCCGCCTCTCGGCGATTCAAATTCAGCCACGAGATTCAAACCCAAGCCTGCTTTCTCAGCGCCTCGTTTCATTGGCTGCCGTCTTCGTGACGTCATCACGCCGGACGTGGCCGTGGCGCGCTGCAGTTTGGCGCCCGGCGTCTCAGCGGCCCCTCGCAGTGGAAGCTACCTTGCTCCGTGTCACCGTGGCAACTCGCACGGCAGTTTCCGGAGGCGTTGGCCGAGGTGGGCGGGGCTAGGCCGGAGCTGCCACCTGGGATCTTCAGGCAGCCTTCTGACCGTGGGCGCGGGCTCCGGTCCCAGGGTTCTGGGTGTGAGTGAGACGGGTGCGGGCAGGGGTTGGCGGTGCTCTCTGCTAGGGGGAGAGGCGGAGCCTGTTGGGTGTGGATTAATGGGTTCTGGGTATTTGTTTTCTCCTTTTCTCTATTGAGTAGTGAGGCCTCCAAGACACAGGTCCCATAATCTGGAAGGTATAGGGACATGTTCTCTCCAACCACTTTCAGTTGGACCGAACTGGGGTCAATTCGCCTCAGTTAATTGAAAGTTCAGGACTTTGGTTTGAGGCCCCAGGCTTCATTTCTCAGGAACCCCAGACCTACTCCCTTAGTGCTGACTCTGAAACTATTTGTTGTATGGCTGTTTTTTACATTTCTTTCTAATGATGGCATTATAAAATAAATTCATTTAAATTTATTGGCTTAGTTCATTATTGGATGCAATGGGCTTTTAAGCCTGGGTTGTAGGTAGTATTTTAGAATGTACACTTTAAAAAGAAAAAAATACCTGGAAATAAATGGGAAATGTGTTCGCTAAGAGAATTCATCTTTTATTTATCAGGATATTTTTAATAGTATGATCTGAATTTTATTGTTCTTTATGTTACTATTGTTGTATCCATTCGTTCAGCAGTTATTGATTGTAGATTTTAAGGACATAATAGCACACAATTGAGTCAAAATCCCTGCGCTCTCAGAGCTTATGCTCTAGTGATTCAGCATCACCATATATACAGGATGGCACAACACCAAATGCAGAGTATTATAAGTGAAACAATGTAGGGGAAACGCTCATATTATAGACATTTATTTCCTATTGAAAATCAGAAACACTATGTATTGTATATGATACATATTATAAGATTCTTTCTGAACACTGGATAGAGCATCAATAAAGCTACTAATTGCTGGCTGTATTACATATATCTTAGCTAATGAGACAGTGATTTGTATGGTGCTGGGTTTGGTAATAAAATTGAGAAGGCTTTTAATTTTATTTCAATATGCACTCACTCTATAGTACTTTACCTTTGATGTCCTGGACATTTATTAATTTTATATATGTTATCTGGTCACTTAATTTTCAAAACAGTCCATGAGATGTAGATACTATTCATTTTACCGAAGAGAAAACTGAAGTTTTCAGAAAATCTCTAAAGGAAAATATTTCTGTTGAAGGGTACAACCCAGCGAACTCGGAATGGAGTCATTTGTTTCTGAAGTACTTTCTAGATTAAGTGATATTAAGATGCTATCTTAATGTAGTCTGAAAATAGGCATATATTACCAATTTCTTGTAAATGTGCACTGATCATTGGTGAATAAGTAGAAGTGTTTAAATTTCGTCGTTTTTGATACCCACATTGTATAAGGTGGACTAGTCTCACAGGTGTTTCCACACCTAATCTAAATGCTTATTTTACATTTAACTTTAAATTCTGCCTTACACTTGCCATTTAACAGTGTTCAGATTTTGAAGTCCATATTTTTAAGGAATTGTAGATTTACTATGCCAGCTGGCTTCTCTTTAGTTTGGCAAGACATTAAGGCGTACAACAGAAAGGACAAGAAATTGACATATTTTGTAACGAAACGAAGGGAAAAGAACCAAAACTTTCCAAACACGTAGTGCTAAGGAGACAGAAATTCCCACCTTTTGTTAGAAATTAGAGTATACTAACTGCCATGTTATTTAAAACATAGAAATTTAACATAGATTCAGAGTAAACTGAAAAGAGTGGAGAGAAAGATAAAATGGAAAGTGAAATTTGAAGTTTCATTAGACATTAAAAAAAAAAAAAGTAAAAGTGAATTTCAACCTGGTAATGCTAGGGACTTAAATCCCGCACCTCCCCCAGGAGCACCATTTGGAACCCCGAGCTCCTGGGGCCCTTTGGCAGCTGGGGCCTGGAAGCAGCGGAACCAAAGGCAGACGGTCCTCTGTTGCTGGGGCGGACGTGGGCCCAATCTGTCCGTTCTCGCAAGTTTCCCCCAGGGCTGGGACTTGTGCGGGAGGCAAATTCAGGTTCTCTGTCACCGTAGTGGTCGTCGCAGGCCCGAATTAGAGGCCAACTGAGAAATCTTCGTGCCTCAGGTGAGGAGAAGGTGGCCGAGTCCCGGGAGCTCTTTTGGAGCCCCCCCCTCACCTTTGGGGGAACTTCTAGGGGTTGCCGGATTCACCCAGCACAGAGGAAACTCGCGCCTCTGCTCTCCCGCTTCCTCTCAACACTCGTTCGTCCTGAGTTCAGAAGTTTCTAAACAGTTTCCCTTGTCAGAGTGTGATCCTTACGCAGAAGAATGGATTCTAACTTTTCCTTTAGGACCTCTTTCACTTTCTCTGTGTTCGGGTGCCAGCCTCCAGGTCGAATTTTTGGCCTTAGGAATTAAATTTCCGAAGGGTTTTCTCTGCAGGGGGAGCTGACTGCAATGACGGTAATTGGTAGCTCCGTTGAGCAAGTAGTTTTCAAAGGTATCGCTCACCTTTGTGTTCCCACATTTAAAAGAGTAACCTGGCTAATTCCGTGGTCTCAGTTTAAATTGAATTTTGCTGGCAGAGAAAAGTTAAGTGGCTTGCCTAGGAAACCACAGAGTTGGCTGTAGAGTTTAGGTTTCCTGATATCCTGCTTCTTTTCTGTGAACAGAGGGAAGTTAAACTATCTTAAATCGTCTAGGGGGGCTAGTTCTTAGTGGACTGTGGAAGTGCTCTGGGTTATCTGGTGGGATATGGGGCTGCAGAAGAGAGGGAAGGAACTCCCTTTAGAATTTGCCCCCTTCCATTTTTAGGGAGGTATTCAAAGACACAACCAAAAAGGAAGATTAATTATTGAGTCCTTTTCTCCGTGTTTACCCACATTAGTATCCAATTAGTGTATACTAAAATCTAGAGGCTTTGTACCTTGAATATATTTGAGTAAATACAAAGAAATTGAATGCAGAAGAAAATTAAGCGTTGTTGAAAGAAGCATTTTTTTTCTACCCTATTTGCTTTTTCCTGTGTGGTTCTGATTCTGATATTGGAGTTGATGGGCTTTTTATTTGTTTGTTTGCTTGTTTTTTTAAAAAAATCAAAATCTGAACATACAGTATAGATTGTTTACATATATTGGATAGGCAAAAGAATCGAATAAGTTATTGGTTGTATTGTTTAAATACTCCATATTCCACTATTTAGGGCTGTACATCGTTCTTGTGTCCTCTGTTGGGTGCCCCACGGTATACTGTATTTCCAAGTGGAGTAGAACCAAGCAATAACATATTGGCTCCTTAGAAAAAATGAATCTAATTCATGGAATACTACAAATACCTAGTCATAGTGTAATCAAAGTGTACCATTCAATTACATGAGTGTATCAAATAGAGCCAGTGGGCTGTGTTTATAGCATATAGGTTAAGAGAAAAAGTTCTGGGGATAGAATGCTGATGTTACAGTTCTAGCTTTATGGCTCTCCAGCTTTGTGACTTTTCAGCAAATTACTTTTCTGTTTTCCTCATCTGCAACATGGAAATAATAATAGTACCTACCTTTAAGAGTTGGGGTAAGGATTGAATGAGTTTGTACATGTAGTGTGCTTAGAATAGTAAGTGGTACTTAGTAAGTGCTCAATAAATGTTAGCTTTTATTTTGAAATATGTTAGAAATGCTAAGTTAGAGCATAGCTTTTATTTTGAACTATGTTAGAAATGCTAAGTTATTAGAGCATAGTTTGGCTTACTTTTGTAAACTTTCTGGAAAACATAAGGCATAATTCATAATTTGGCTAGTTTGTTATTGCTGAGCATCCAAAATCTTACTTAAAACACTCATTAAAAACTTTTTTTTGCCATATTTTTTCTGTGTCAGATTTACAACATAATTCTGTGAATTACGTCTTTGGTATCCTCAAGGTTACATCTTACTGATATTATACTGATATAATATCAAATATGTATTTTTATTTATTTTCCAGTCATTACATGTGATTGACTTTTCAACATTATTCTTCATTTTCTAATGCAAAAGGAAGGGAAGGCATATTTAATCAAGATTTATGTTTCATAAATATTTTGAGAATGTGGTTTTTGGTAGGGTCAGTGAGACAAGTAAAATTTTCTAAAGCAAGGTTAATTCTATAGAATCTGGAATTTATCCATCCATTCTTTTATATTTTTATTTTTTCCAGAAAACACGTATTAAGCGCCTAGTGTGCATCTGATTTCGTGGATATAAAGGTGTGGTTCTTACTTTTAAATAACTCATAATCCATGAGGAAGGAAAAGAGTAGTGTTAAATTGTTATTTACTTTAATAATATCAAAAATGTTGCTTGCATCCAAATGGGTAAAGAACGTAATGTTTTCAAAAGGTATTCTGTTAATACATTTCATAAATTACTTTTTTCCTCTCCATTTTAAAGAATTACAGATTACAGAATAAAATGGAGCAAGTAAGAGAAAGCGAAGGAATGTATCAGTTATTTACTTGCTTTATTGGGGGCATGGGGCAGGGAGCAGATAATTAAAATGATATGAAGTGCCAAAGTGTGTTCAGTGGAGTGTTTATAAAGTTATAGTTTAAAATGATATGTATTTCACTGATATAAGCCATGGTGAGATGATTTCGTCAGAGCATATCCATGACAAATCTGTAAGATTTTCATAGACTGATAACCTTTTCTTTTTGGTTGTACATGCATAGTCTTTTTTCAGGGACAATTTTTCAAACAAAGTTAAATTGAAAATGAAGATTTAGCATTATGAGAAAAACAATTAGAAGACCTTGAAATAAAAGACTATGTGAACCTAAAATAAAATAATGTTTTTAATCCCTTTCAGAAAAACGATGATTGATTAATCAATATTCACATCTCTGATGGTTAAAACATTAATGGTCTCAGAGCTTATCAGGCCCACATTAAAAACTGTATTTTCAGATAGTTTCTGGGGTTCTCTTGGGTTCCTCGCTTTGCATAAGGAGGGTAGTTATCTTCACTTGTCTGAGATGATGAGTTTTACATATTTTTCCTGTGTTAAATATTTCATACTAATTTGCTTTCCCCCAAGTATTATAACATTCTTTTGAAAAAAGCCAACAATCATGATATTTAAATTTTTTTTCTAGATTTGTTGATCTACAGAATGCTTCAATACCCATATTTTTGTAGAATCTATAAAAAATTTCTTTCGTGCTGGTTGGAATCTGGCATATTTAATTTGGGTGTCTGGCCAAAAAAAATACATGCTACAGCAGAAAGATATAATGAATATGAAGCCCAGGAGCAAACAGATCAAACTGGAGCTCAGGAGTTACAAGGCAGAGATTCTGAAGTGATGACTAAATTACATATTCCAGTGATGGTGGATGAAGTTGTTCGTTGTTTGGCACCACAAAAAAGGCAGGTAAGTTGGTTAGTTTTATATTTTCTAACACTTTTTAACTGAGATATGATTCACTTAATATTCACAATTTTAAGGTGTACAATTCAGTGTTTTTTAGTATATTCACGAGCTTATGCAATTATCACCACTGTCTAATGCAAGAACATTTTTATCATCTCAGTAGGAAACCCCATACCCATTAGCATTCACTCCCCATTGACCCCCTTCTTGCCCCTGACAACCACTAATCTATTTTTTGTCTATATGGATTTGTCTAATCTGGACATTTCATATCAATGAATTCATACAATATGCGGTCTTTTCCACCTGCCTTCTTTTACTTAGCATGTTTTCAGTATTTATCCACATTTTAGCGTTTGTCGGTACTTCATTTCTTTTTATTCCTGAATCATTCCGTTGTATGGATATGACTTCTATTTTTTTTATCCATTGATCAATTGATGAGATTTATGTTTCCACATTTGCACTACTCTGAGTAATGCTGCTATGAACATCATGTACAAGTTTTTGTGTGGACATGTATTCAGTTCTCTTGGGCATGTATCTAGGAGTGGAATTACTGGGTCATATGGTAACTTTTTGCCTAACTTTTTGAGAATCTGCTAAGCTGTTTTCCAGAGTTGATTAGTTTTGTCAAATAACAGTTTTAAAAGGAAAAGAACATTATTCCAGCTATGTGGTTAGGGTATGAAAACTGAATTCTAGTATAGCTTCTTGAGAATTTTCGTATCTTTTTAGGAATGACTGGAGACAAAGATAAAAATCTGAATTCCTGTCCCCTGTTTTCTTAGGCTTAGTTTTCAGCTACCTTTCTGTCTTACTGAGAGTTCTCCAGAGATATAGGACCAACAGAATATGTGTGTCTGCGTGTGTGTGTGTGGTGGTGGGGTGTATGGTGTATGTGTGTATAAAGAGAGAGAGAAAGAGAGATTGTTTGATTGATTTTAAGGAATTAACTCACATGATTATAGAGGGTTGGTAAATTCAGAATCTGCACAGTAGGCTGGTAGGCCGGAGACCCAGGTAAGATTTCCAGGTTGAGTCCAAAGGCAGTTGGCTGGCAGAATTCCTCCTTGTGCCAGGGAGGTCAGTGTTTGTTCTATTAAGGCTTTCTAGTGATTAGATGAGACCCACCCATTATATGGAAGGTAATCTGCTTTACTCAGTCCAGCAATTTAAATGTTAATTCTTATCTAAAAATACCTTCACAGAAACATCCAGAGTAATATATGACCAAATATCTGGGCACTATGGCTCAGCCAAGTTGACATATAAAATCATCCATCATACTTGCCTTATTTATAGTGTTGCTAACAGGATTGTATAAGGTCTTAGGTATGAAAATCTTTAAAATCTATAAAAAGTTCACAAAAATGTTAGGTGATACAATATCCAAAAAGAAAAAACTAGTCTTTCTGAAAATTAATCACATTTACCAAAGGAAAAGAAATCTTTATCATTGTAAGTTTTCATTAAATGTCTGTTTATAACTTTATGCTGATAGTAATTAGCATACTGACTTCCAAACTATGATCTCTTATTCTAGAAGCTACTATTATTACCTGAATCAGTTATATTCATTTTAAAAGCCATTCTTTGTTTCTTTTCCCAACATATAGTGGCTTAGTAGTTAAGAGCAAAGATTCTATAACAAGACTGTGTAGGTTTGAACCCATTGTCTAGTACGCATGTGTGTGTGAACACATACACACAGCTCTTAAAAAGCCATCAGTGATAGGACTTAGGTTGCTTTATCATAAAAAATATTCTGTTTACCTTGTCCTCAGGCAGTATATATATAATGAAATAAACCCAGTATTCTTTTTTTTTTTTTTTTTTTTTTTTTAAGTGGTACGCGGGCCTCTCACTGTTGTGGCCTCTCCCGTTGCGGAGCACAGGCTCCGGACGCGCAGGCTCAGCGGCCATGGCTAACGGGCCTAGCCACTCCGCTGCATGTGGGATCTTCCCAGACCGGGGCACGAACCCGTGTCCCCTGCATTGGCAGGCGGACTCTCAACCACTGCGCCACCAGGGAAGCCCCAAACCCAGTATTCTTAAATGAGATTATGTGTTTAAAGTATTTGGCTAAATGCTGTCACATAGTAGGGACTCCAAAATATACATGAAAATGTAAGTTAAAAAATTAAATTGGATAAAACTTCCTGTTAAGTATGACTTCATCAAAATGAAATTCTCTTCATTTCCTTTAAAGGTTCATAAGGCAAGGATAGTAATTAAAACTCATACCAAAATGTGAGTTTTAAAATGTATGTATAAATATATATATTTGAGATATATATGAGAGGGGAGGGGCAGTTAGTAAAAATGTGAAACTGGATTTGATGGCTTGAATTTGATCTCTGGAACCAGAAACCAAATTAATTGTATAAATTTGCTGAACCCTAGTAGCAAAAACCAAATGTTTATTTTGCAATAACCCATGAAGTAGAAAAACAACCAAACAAAAACAAACCTGGCTAAGTCTCCTCCTAATTCAGTACTGGATCTGCCTTTTTTTTTAAAAACCAAGTGGGATAAAATTAGGCGATTCTACAACTTGACCTACCCTGCTGTTTCATTCTGTTCAAGTTCGTGACAATTGTAATGTTGGTTTATTTTGACATTTCCATTGTTCTGATTTGAGTTGGGTTTTCTAGTAACTTTTTATAGAAAGTTTAATTTTATGAATGTTATTTATGAGAAATTTAATGTGAGGTACACTTATAGAGACAATGTTATTTCTTACCATTTCTGCTGTCTGGCAGACAGCTTTATTCACTATTCCCTTAATCTTCAAGTAATAAAGAACTACTGACAGTCCTTGGACAGGAAAGGTCTTCATTTCTTCCAGAACCCATTATTTGCTGCTTTTCTTCCTGAGCCTTTTCTCCAAAATCATTTTCCTTTGCAAACTATGAGTCATACATTCACCTGTATCAATCACCTACTTAATTACTGTTTTTCACATCACCTTCAATGATAAATTTACAAATGAAACTTTGATCATAATAGGAACTTTAAATATAGTTTTGAGTGAGGCCTCAGTCATTTGATAATTATTTCCTCTTCTTTAATATTTAAAAGATGCTTACTTAAAGAAAATAATTGATTGTGGTAATTTCTTCTGCATCATAGCCAACTCACTACACGTTAACTTAGTTTTGCAAATACATGCAAAATATTTATGAGTTTGAATTAAAAGAATAAAATTCCTCTTCCTCTTCCTTGGGAGGTACAGAAGGAATTAAATAAATTATAATTCTTCTCCTTGCCCCATTTTCATTATTTCATAGTCTCGGTGAATAATTTTTGTAAGAAAGTATTACTTGTTCTAAAGACATTTTTCTTGCTCCTGAGGATGTTTTAGTGTAGGCTACCTTGGTCAATTTTTTATTCCTTATTTCTGAAAGCTGGAGAAAATATGCATGATCCTGTCTAGTTGAAAATGATAGCAGTTTGAAGGATATAGGAGTCTTGGTATTCTTGGTATTCTTTGCCCAGTAGTATTGCTAATGTAGCTTGGTGCCTTAGAGTTTCTATAGGAGTGATAAGTTATGAGGGACATGATGGTCATGCAAGGACTAGTACCAGTACCAGTACCAGTACTAGTACCAGTAGATGTGTAATTTCATATAAGTAACTTATCATGCCTCTGCCTCAGATTTCTCATCTGTAAAATGAAGAAATACAACCTATCTCATATGGTCATTGTAAGGGTAAATCGCTTAGAATGATATATTCTGAGTAGTATGAGCTCAATAAACATTATCTGATACTATTATGGGGATTAGGAAGGTCAGCATTGGTAGCTAGATACAACAAAATTCAGGAGAAAAATGCCAGGAGGCAGCAAAGGTGAAAATAAATGTTCCAGCAAAGGTGGAACCAACATGTTTGGAACTGAAAAAGTACCGTTTCTTTTGCCTGAACCATTCTTCACATCTTGAGTTAAATTTCACTTTCTCAGGGAAGCTTTTCTGGAGCCTACAGAGGAGGACGGTCTCCTGATTAGTACATTCATGGAGTTATATACTTTTCTTTCATAGGACTTATAATAATTTATAATTATAATTTTTTAATGAGATTATTTATTCAGTGGACATCTCTCCTAGCAGACTGCCCTCCATGAAAGTCATGGACATCTTTATCTTGTCTACCATTGTATCATTATATCTTCAGGGCCTAGCATAAGGACTGTAACATGGTGGCTTTGTAATGATTTTTAAGGGAATGAATAAAAGAGTAAACTGGAGGACAGATGTGAGGCACAGATAAAAGGAATGTCCCTCGGGTACTATGGTAGCTTCTCAGGCTCAAGACTTATATGATTCCAGCCTCAGTGTGGCAGGCCCAGTCTGATGACGTAACTGGAGAAATCTGGGGAAGGAACAGATATGAGGACTGAGAAAATGAGTTGGTACCTAACTGATGCAAAATAGATTATGATAAATGTCAGGCTAAGGTTATACGGTTGGGTTTCTAAATATTCAAAATAAGTATTTAATCTATTTTGATAGTCTAACATTTAACATTAGTTTCATCATTACTTGATTTACCAAAGCTGTCGTGGTACAAGATATGATAATTTTCTTTCTAAAAAACGCCCTATGCTCTATATAATGGATTTTTCTTAACATCAGTTGCAGTATTTCACTTGTTTTACTTTAAATCCTTTATAATCTTTAAACAGAGAGTGAACATCAAAGAGAAAATCCTGGGACTATAGGTTTACTGTCTTTAAATATTAAAGGCTGATCGATAACAGAAAGGAGGAGTTTATTTTGTTTAACCTCAAATTATTGAAAAAGTTAGGAACTTTTATATGAGACAGGACCTGTACTATAGCACATGTAGGGAGATGCATTATTTTCCTAAAGAAAGAACTATTAAATTTCAGATAGAATGGACTGTGTCAAGATGCAGTGTCCTCTCCTTTATTTTTTAACATATAGCTTTCTTGGAAGCAAATTTTTATTTTACACTTCTTTCTACCATTGTTT